TCGCAGGATTTGAAAAAGATAAGTTTCCTTAAGGTCTAATCCCCTTCTAATCCTCTCAAATGCAAAAAAGAAAAGAAAAAAAAAATCATACAACTCTATCTTTAATATATCTTGAATTTAATTAGTTATGAATGAAATCAAATCCTAAATACTAAATGAGCCCTATAGGTGTCAACATACAAATTTGCTATTGTGGAGATTTGAGGCTTAGAAACTACAATGATTGAGTCATTTAGTACTACGGTCTAGTAATATTTCTCTTCATTTGTAAGTGAGAAGTTTTATGTTCCATTTTCGAAAAGGCGATTTTGAACCAAATTATTGCTAGCCCATTGTAAGGCTAAGGCCACCTCATTCCCTATAGTGTAGATGATATCGTTCGTTCAAAAAAAAAGAAAAAAAAAAAACTACAATGATGGAATACTTTAGAACTTTGTTCAACTTCGTAAATAACTCACTAGATCAATATATGTTAAAGGCTAAAATCGATGTCAACTTTTTACCTGAACAAAATTTGAAAATTGACATTCATTTCTTCATTCAACTTATATTAAATTCAATGCGTTATCCAATTCAATACAATCTTATACATCCCCGTTTTGGGGTTTGGGTTTTAATCAATCTCTGAAAAACAAACTCAAGTTTTGAGATTTCATGATCCTATTGTGGGCACATACTAGATGGACAAAACCCACGACTTTCACTATCTTCCTCTCCTAAAATCAAACTTGGGCCCTTCAAGGTGCCCTAAGAGGCCGCCAAAGGCCCATCTTTCCCTACCCCTCTACGTTGCATGCAATATTTGCAAATGGTTTGCATGGAAAAACCAAATATTTGGTTGCATAACAAATTCCCTTGTCCGACTCCTTTGGATCTTGAGACATTCTAACTTGGAATGCGTCTTTGTCTCTCCCACTTCGTCTTCCTCCACAAACACAGATCCCCTCAGACAATTAAATCACATTTCCACGCTCATTACATCCTCTTTTCCACAAAAACATAACTCAGATGATCTCTCTCTCCCAATCGCAAAGACACAGAGAGAACAATGGCGCCAGGTTTAAGGTCGCGCAGCAACAAGCGGTCATCTTCGTCGAATTCTTACGCTTCGACTGTGACGATTATGGTGTTCATAGCAGTGTGCGTTTTGGCTGTGTGGATGCTCAACTACTCTAACTCAGGAGTCCCACAAACCTCCACAAGTGCTCGAACTGCCACGATCTCCTCCTCAGACGATGCTGCCTCGGACCTAGTGATCACCAAAAGCACAAACAGTTACGACAACAACGACAACAATAATAATAATAATGAAAAACCGAAGGCGTTTGAAGACAACCCGGGCGATCTCCCCGACGATGCCATCAAATCCGATGATCTGCTGAGCAATTCAACAAAGGGTAGCGGTAGTAGTACCACTTCATCCGACCAAGAACAACGTAGTAGTGGCAACGGCGGAGGCGGTGATAATAAACAAGATACTAGCGAAGAGCTGCAAGATAAGAAGGAGAAAGAAATCAGCCAGACCCAATTGGCTGAGGATCAGAGCGGCTCGGTGGCGGAACACAACCAACAACAAGCCGACCACGATGAACAGGGCACTCAGAAAGATTCTGTCGATCAATCTGATAAAAAAAACCAGAAGGGCGCCGTCGATCAATCCGAAAAGAACGGCGATCAAATAATCACAAGCGACGGTCAAAAGAACAGTTCAGATAGCAATTCACAAGAGCAGGAAGGCACAAATAACAAGGACAACAATCATAATTCCGAAAGCGGGGAAGGCAATTCTCAAGATTCTCAGAGCGATAAGAAATCGGATAATGCAGATCAAAAGCAAAATGCAGTATCGTCGGATCACCAGCAGCAGCACGAACAAGAATTTCTAAGCAGTGGGAAGCAGGGGAATTCATCGCAAGAATCCCAAAACTATCAGCAGCAGCAGGAGAATTCGGAGTCCAACGCGACCAAAAGCGGTGAGTTGCAGTTCTCGGACGAGACGAGCCATGCAGCTGCGAACTTGCAAGTACAAAGCAAGGAATCTACCTATCAGAACTTTTCGGAAACAACTACAGATCAGAACAAACAGAATCCAGAAAAAACCCAGCAGGAGTCCGACTCCGATCAGAAGAACAAGAAGGACGGCGGCGCCAATGCAGCCAATCAAAGCAAGGTTCCGGCAACCGAGTCCAACTCGGGCGATTCGTTACTAAGCGGGGACAACACGGTTCGGAAGGAGTCGAAGGAGTCGAAGAAGTCGTGGTCGACGCAGGCGGCGCAATCGGAGAACGAGAAGGAGAGGCGCAAGGACGAATCGGCCGGTCAGGACGGCATCTACGGCTACACGTGGCAGCTCTGCAACGTCACGGCGGGTCCAGATTATATACCGTGTTTGGACAACGAGAAGGCTCTGAAAAAACTGCGTTCGACCAAACACTTCCAGCACCGCGAGCGGCACTGTCCCCAGGAGGGGCCCACGTGCCTGGTCCCGCTTCCGGAGGGGTACCAAAAGTCCATCGCGTGGCCGAAAAGCAGAGACAAGGTGCGAAATATGTATGATTTGTGGGATCGTGTGTGATTGAATTATTTAAACGGTTGGATTTGTGGGGGTGTAACTCTTTAATTGTGGTCTGGCAGATATGGTATCATAATGTGCCGCACACGTTGCTGGCGGAGGTGAAGGGCCACCAGAACTGGGTGAAGGTTTCCGGTGAGTTTTTGACGTTTCCTGGTGGCGGGACCCAGTTCATACATGGCGCCCTCGTGTACATTGATTTCGTTCAAAACGTAAGTACCCCTTCACCATTGATTTCACATCTAATATAAATTTCTAATTCCGTCATTATATGCCATTATCATAATGCGCACATCAGTCTTATAATGTTATTAAGTTGCATGCAGGCAGTCCCGAAGATCGCATGGGGAAAGCACACTAGAGTTATATTGGACGTTGGTTGTGGGGTTGCAAGCTTTGGCGGATATCTCTTCGAGAGAGACGTTCTAACGATGTCGTTTGCACCCAAAGATGAACACGAAGCTCAAGTCCAGTTTGCCCTTGAGAGAGGCATACCTGCGATCTCTGCAGTCATGGGTTCTCAAAGGCTGCCCTTCCCCAGCAGGGTCTTCGATGTCGTGCATTGTGCGCGATGCAGAGTCCCTTGGCACATAGAAGGTACGTCAGAATGTGCGGTTTAGGCTCACAAGTCTGACAATATAAACATTTGTCTAACAGGCCACACACGTTTATAATTTACACACTGTTATGGTTACTTTGTCATGACACTGCAGGTGGTATGCTTCTTTTGGAATTGAATCGGGTTCTGCGGCCTGGGGGTTACTTTGTGTGGTCAGCCACTCCTGTTTACAGGAAGGAACAAGAGGATATCGAAATATGGAAGGGTAGGGTACCAAATTTGTTATGAACGAGTATAGTTTAACAAGGAATGTTCGTTCTCTTTTTATGTTAGATTGACAGTCTGATAACAACAAACATCAAACTGTTTAATATAGAGGTTGTTTCAATTTTGTAGAAATGTCGGCACTGACGGCCTCCATGTGTTGGGAGGTTGTAGCCATCAAGAAGGACAAGGTAAATTCAGTTGGGGCCGCCATCTACCGGAAACCAACCTCAAACCAATGCTATGACCAAAGAAAGCAAAAGCAGCCTCCTATGTGCAAAAACGACGATGACCCTAATGCTGCCTGGTAACTAAGTTTCCGTTGATGACCTAATTTCACGGTTTAAGTTTATCATGACCCGGGCTATATATACATAATTCTCTACAGGTACGTACCTCTGCAGGCGTGCATGCACCGGGCACCCACAGACAAATTGGAGAGAGGGACTAAATGGCCTGAGAAATGGCCTAGTCGCCTGCAGACTCCGCCTTACTGGTTAAACAGCTCCCAGATGGGCATCTATGGGAAGCCAGCACCCCAAGATTTTTCAACAGATTATGAGCACTGGAAACGTGTTATCAGTAACACTTACATGAAGAGTTTGGGTATCAACTGGTCGAACGTCAGAAATTGTATGGACATGAGAGCGGTTTATGGAGGGTACTACTCATTGATCGATGATTTTCGATTAGGTTTACGTAATTCTAAGTGGTAATCTCAACTACGTTGTGCTCATGAGTGCAGGTTTGCTGCAGCTCTGAAGGACCTTAAAGTGTGGGTCATGAATGTGGTGAATATAGATTCACCGGATACACTCCCCATAATCTATGAACGGGGTCTTTTCGGAATTTACCATGACTGGTGTGAATCCTTTAGCACTTACCCCAGAAGCTATGACCTACTTCATGCAGATCATCTCTTTTCAAAGCTTAAAAAGAGGTACAACTTAAATCTATGTTGCTATTCATTTTTATGATCCCTAAGTCATGGTAAAGCCGATGTACCTGTTTTCGCTTCCCAGATGCAAACTCGCTCCGGTACTGGGAGAGGTTGATCGGATTGTCAGACCAGGAGGTAAGTTTATAGTCCGGGATGAGTCGAGCACAATTGGGGAGGTTGAGAACTTGTTGAAGTCCCTGCATTGGGAGGTTAGTCTAACCGTCTCCAAAAACCAAGAAGGAATGCTCAGCGCACAGAAAGGCAACTGGCGGCCAACCACATATGCAGATAGAGAGTCTTCTTAACATACACAGAAACACAGCATTCAGCTCATATACCGTGCTCTCAAACTGTTTGTACTCCGGAACCAGTGATGTACTAACCAATTTTTAGCATCGTGGTCATTTCGGATGCAACCTAGTTTTGCTACATGACTGAACAAGATTGTATGTATTTGTTCATGTTGTTAAATGCATGTAAACCTGTGAGATACATGTAATGATTGAAAACTCATATGCAAGACGCATATACATCACATTCACCTAGAAAATGAAGGCGTTATCATTTCTGTATCAGTGTCATCAACAAAAGAAACAGTTGTTGAATTCATTGCTTCAATTTGGATAGCATAAAATCTTAGGGTATGAAAAATAGAAAAACCGAGATTGCTAGTTATCAAATACATATGATTTCTCAAATGTTGTGGAAAATTGATGAGGTTGTGCCAATTCAACATTACATCAATTATTATTTGCAGACAGAAAAATCATTTTAGCTACATCAAAGTCAGAGAACTAACTCTTTAATCCCCATATGCAGCTTCATATCTGCGCTCGTGTTTCTTAATCTAACATATCTCCTCAACTTATACTAAGAAGCTTCTGAAGCTGGCCACTCAGAACTGCCGCTTTGAGGTCTGAATTGTAAAAGTCACAAATTAAAAAAGCAGATAGAAGGAAACAATGCCAGATGAAAAGCATTAAAACAAGGACAAACACAGCTGGGAGCTCACCATCAGAGCCACCAATGTGCTTTCCATTCACAAAAATCTGCGGCACAGTGGTTCGGCCCACCACATCTAGAAGAACACTCTGAATTTGAGCTCCATCATCTAAACACATCTTTTCAGAGTCAAATTCAAACCCTTCTTGCATTATACATAACCAGCTCATCAAAGATTAACAAAAAGACGTAACCATTTCATACCTCGAAGATCAAGTTCGACAACAAACGGATGCTCATGTAATTCGGCAAACATGCGCTTGGCACGCAAGCAATACCTGGCCACAAAACAACACACAATGCCAGAATCCTCATTCCAGAATCACTTAAATTAACACACACAGGGGCATGGACAGAGTTCTTTTCGCAATATTTACGCCGAAATCATAAACCATTACTAAAACAGAAACAAAATATAACAGATAGCTGAACAGAATTCAGAAAGCAATGAACCCACTACTAGCACAGAAATGAACATCTTAGTGACATATCTGAAGATGTTATGATCCTGGATATAAATAAAACAAATGTTGATGCAAATAAATATTTCCCAAATTCTGAAATTACAATTTGATTGCTCTACGAATTTCAAGGTTTGAGGGAGATGACGTACGGGCAATAGGATTTGGAGAAGATGGCAATCTTGTTGGAGTAGATGGCGTTCTGCACGAACGCCGCAGAAGACGAAGCTGAAGCCTCCACAACGACGGCGTTTCCAAACAGTAGCAGAGCCGCCGCCACCGCCGCGATCACAGCACCGCCCATTAACTCTGACCTACGCATCTTCCCTCCACGACACCGCGATCCCGCTGTAACGACATTCCCAACATTTTATCATTTCGCGTCATATCAGAATCCGTGGGCCGGGCCCATTAATTGGCGGGTCCGTTTATCAAATTCCCCTAATTTTTATTTGTTTTTCTTCTAAATTTAATTTTTCATCGAGAAATTCAAGCAGAAAAATACCAAAATTCAAAAAAAAATTCTGTTTAAATTGTGAATGTTCAATCTGGATACAAAAATCTTAAGATCTACAACATCAATTCGAATCCAAGCTATGAAGATTTGGAGTTGGAATCACATTTGTACAGCTTGTTGTATTCGTCGAGCTCGTCGTAATACACATCCCACACGCACCGGACGCATCCGCTGCCGCAGCAATCGCCCGGTTCCGGCTTCTCTGGCGGCGGAGGCGGAGGTGATTTCTCCGCTGACTTTCCTTCTCCCTCTTTCGGCTTTGCTGCTTCAATCGGTTGAGGGACTCGAGTCTTCGTTGCTGCTGCTGCTGCCGCTGCATCGCCGTCGCGGTCGGCCATGGAGTTGTTGTGGATGGTGGTGCGCGCGCAGAAGGGTAGCCGTGGTCGAGGTCGTTGGGGGTTGATTCTGGTGGTGATTCGGATGCTTATAGCTCCTCCTCTCATGGCCAAGACCGTGGGGGTCGGGGCATTCTCTGGTTTTGCCGCGTTCTGATTGGCCAGCGCTGAGGTATACGGTAGAAGCTCCCGCAGACAACGACGATTTGCGGCTGCGTCCATACACGGCTCCTTGTTTCCTAACCAGTCTATCCCCTAAAATGAGCTTTTTGTGGTAATAATCCAAATCTCGTCAACTTTTTTTTAGGTTGACTGTATTTGATGGTTGAGATAGGGACACATAGCATCTCCAATGGAACCATGACTTTTGAGGAGTAATTTAAGATCTTAAAAAGGAATCTTTGTGTTTTTAAAAGAATATTGCCTTCATTAGGAGCCGAGTCAGGATTTTGCATAAGGAGGAACCTCATTTAATGTTAAAAAAAAAGATAATGTTTATAAAAGGGTATAATACATGCTTGGAGTTGTAATCTAATTTAATTTTTTTTGAGGCGCTAAATACTTTTTTCATGTTAAAATTAATCTTCTAATATCAAGTTAATATAGAGAGTAGTTAATCAAGATTAAAGAGGATTCAAAGAAATTAACCTTCTAATATCAAGTCAATGAAAAATGCTAGGGGATCATGTTTTTAGACCATATTATTAGTAAAAAGTTAAAGAGAACACAAAGATTTACAAACCTTAACATTGTTTTGGGTTGAAAATATGGAGGGCAAAATACATGAAATTCAACAAGGGAAGGAGGAAAAGTTCAAAGTTTATTATTCTTTAGGTTGACAATATAAAAGAATATCTTCTGATAAAACTAAAGTAAATTTTAGATTTTAATTTTAAGAGTTATTGACTTGTATACAAAATAAGAGTTAGATTTAGTTTTAGGATGAGTGTTGTTGGGTGAAAAGAAAAAAAGACCTCTTGTTTTAATTATTGGTGAATAGAATTTAAAAGTTTTGTGTAAACTAAAAGGTGTATAATACTAAGTTTATAAAAAATAAATAAATATATAATACTAAATATTTAGAGGGGATTAAAGAGTGAGAGTAGGCCTAGGCCTATGCCAGGCATATATTGCCTCCGCCCCTGGCCTCCAATGGCAAAGTCCTTATTAGATACGACATTCGTGTCGTTTTCGTGTCATACCTGATAGCTTAATGGATCGTGTCGTGTAATACTCGTTAAAGTAAATGGGTAATATGACCCGACTCGTTACATGTTACCCGTTAAGAAAAATATATTTTAAATCAATAAAAATGAAAAACATAATTTGACCCAAAAAAATGTAAAACATAATACTAAATTAGTATATACATACTAAATTTCGGAGTTGACCCCTTCATGAAAGTTGTAAAGTTTTTCATTACGAGTGATTACATTTTTCACACTTCTACAATAATTATTATTAATTTTGCACTCAAATAAAAAACACTGTTCATGAGATTTGGAGGGTTTTAAAAATCTAAATGACCATGTAATCATTGTCTAAGCGTTAAGGATGCAATTATGAACGTTTATTATGCTTTCACATCTTTTAGACTTATACATTAATGATTATGAATTTTGTTTATTTTGAACTCCCTTAAAAATACTATTCATGAGAGTTTGTATGGTTTTAAAAATTCAAACGATCATATACCCATCCTCAAAGCGTAGAGGATGCGACTATGAGCATTTGCATATTTTTTTCATATTTTTCGCACATGTAAATTAATTATTATAATTTTTTTAATGTGTTTAGTATTTTTAAGTGTGACATCCCACATCGCCCAGGGGGTGATCCTTAAATGCATATTCCCATCCCTACCTAGCACGAGGCCTTTTGGGAGCTCACTGGCTTCGGGTTCCATGGGAACTCCGAAGTTAAGCGAGTAGCGCACGAGAGCATTCCCAGGATGGGTGACCCATCGGGAAGTTCTCGTGTGAGTTCCCAGAAACAAAACCGTGAGGGCGTGGTCGGGGCTCAAAGCGGACAATATCGTGCTACGGTGGTGGAGCGGCCCGGGAAGTGGTCCGCCCCGGGCCGGGATGTGACATTAAGTTACTTGATATTTTTATTTTTAATCTCAAACTTTGCCTATAATATACTATAAAAATAAATAAATAAATAAATAAAACTTAAAATTTTAAATTTATATAGAATAATAATTAATAAACAATATATACATATTCATTATATCTATTGTATTTTATAGTAAGTTTTTTTTAGTAGTTTAAAAAATTAAAATCATTAAAATAACTTTTTTCTTATCATGTCGAAACAGGTTACATGCGTATCACTCTCGTGTAAACATGTTAAGGACCTTTTATTAATGGGTTATTATCGTGTGACCTGATTAGTTATCGTGTTAACCCGAAATCCATTATTTTCGTGTCGTTTACGTGTCGTGTTAACAGGTCGTGTAAGAAATTGTTAGGTCTAGTCCTTATAATAGAATCTATAAATTTGAAGTTTTTATGGTTTTATGTGATAATTTAATTAGGTGCACATTTTTTGCTTATGTTAACCTTTTTTTAATTAATTAAAAGTATTGAAAGAAAAATCTTCAATCAAGATTGTGGGTATTGTTTTCCACTCAAGGTGCACATTTTTTTTGTTCATGTTAACCATTTTTTAATGAACTAAAAGCATTAAAAGCTACAATCAAGATTGTGGACCTCATTTTCCACTCAAGGTTGTCCTTATGCAGTCCCTATATATAAGGACATACACTACGTATCCGGTGAGTCCCTGACTCACTTTTTGATACATTAGAAATTCATTTTGTCTCTATATTTGTTTTATACCCATTTTATATGGTGATTGTCCCTTTTTAGGGACTCCATTGAAGATGCTCTTAGGAGAGGATTGACTTATGACATCCGAATTAATAATACAATTATAAAATTGTATTTGTTTGAAATGCAAGTCGTTATTTTTGGGATAGGATACTCTCCTGATTTCATCCATCTGGATCTCACTCGCCCAACTGAATTCCTCTCCCGTTTTTAGGTAATTCCTTTGCTACTTATTTCACTGTCGGTTTTGATTGAATGCTCGATGCGGATTTCAGTTAATCTGTGAGTTTCTTCGCAATCGAAAATGACATAGTTTCAAAACAACGAAAATTAGAAAGTAATTTACTCGGAGAGCAAGAACAGATCAATTTCAAAAAAAAGGAAGTATCTATCAACGACTGTAGGATTTGATTTTGCCTTGCAGCGCAAGCAAGGTAAGTAAGTAGGGTTGGTAGGTCAAAGTATTGCGCCAATAAATACGGCCAATATTGAGAGCCCCTATTTCTTGTGCCTGTTCTCTCTTTGAGATCAGAAAAACCTTAGCAAACCACCTCTCTCCCTCTCTCCCGGTTTGTTTACCCAAATTTGGCTTTAGATTCCATGGCTGAGGTTGAACACATCAACCCTTTCAGTCTCTTGGATGACGGCGATTTCATCAGCGTCGTGGACGCGAAGGCGGAGGTTGCGTTTCTTGCAGTGGTGAAGGAGGAAAAGAGGAAGAACAAAGAGGAGGAGAAGAAGAAGGCAGCGGAGAAAGCGCAATCTGCATCCAGTGCTGCTAGTATTGGTTCCGAGAAGTATAATAATTACAGAGGCAATGGAGGCCAAAATTACACGAGGGTTAATCGCGGTTATTATGGCCAGAGGCGGTATCACAGAGAGGGTATTGGCGGTTATCAAGAGAGGACTCAGAGCCAGGGAGGAGAAGAAGGAAAGGTTGAGAATGGCGGCCAAAATTATGGAAGGGGTAACGGAGGTTATTATGGTCGAAGGCGGTATTACAAGGATGGCAACGGCGGCTACCAGGAGATGAGTCAGAGCCAGGGAGGAGAGGGAGGAAAAGTTGAGAATGGAGGCCAAAATTATGGTAGGGGTAACGGCGGTGACAATGGTCAGAGGCGGTATTTCAGAGAGGGTAACGGTGGTTATCAACAGAGAAGTCAGAGTCAGGGTGGAGTGGCGACGGTTAATAATGGAAGGCAAAACTATGGAAGAAGAAACGGGGGTTATTATGGTGGTAAAAGGCAGTATTACAGAGCAGTTAACGGAGGCCCACATGGAAGTAATCAGAGTGAGAATGTGGAAGTTGAGGAAGCTAATGTGCTTGGTAATGGTTTTGATGGTGAGTGTTGGCAAGAGTGTCACGCTCGGCGGAACCCTAATCATCATAATCACAGCGTTGATGATCAGCATATGGTGCAGGGCGGCGGTGATGATCAGCAAAGGGCTCAAGGTAGGTTTGGAGGTCAGAGGCAGGGGCGAGGCAGATGGAGAGACCATAGTCATCAAGAAAGGAGAAGATACAACAATACCGAAAACAACCAGGGTAACAACAATGGTGAGGGGTTGGAAAAGGAGAACGAGAAGGAGAAACAGCAACAAGAACAGGGCAGTGAGGAGCAGGGGAATAATTCTGAATTGCAAGGTATAGGGGCCAATGGAAATGTCAGCAGAAAGAGCTCTGACGAGAAGGAAAAGAAGCCGAATATCAATGGAAGTCTTAAGAAAAAGATGAAGAAGAACAAGGATAGGATCCAAGGCGAAAACACGGCTGCTGCTCCTGCAAGTGTTCAAGAGGATAAAAAGATTACCAAGGAGTACACTCTGAAAGAGTATGAGGAGAAGGCTCTTGGTGCCAAGAAGAAGGATTCGGAGGCTGCGAAGAAAAGTGTCGATGGGGATTTTGAGAGGACTGAAGCTCTTGTTAAGGAGTTTGAGTCAATGCAAGTTATTGGGAAGAAGGAGAAAATGTCTGTCCCCGTGGGCCAAGAAAAGTCTGCAGAAGTTAAAAAGAGGAAAGATGGTGCTTCCATGAGGAAGATCAAGACGCAGACTATTAATATCAATGAGTTCTGCAGACCAAACAAGGGTGATAAACTTGAAGGGCCTCGTGGGCAGCGGGATGGTAGATTTCAAGGGCCTCATCTGCAGCAGGGTGGTGGATTTGGAAACTACTCTCAGCGGGGAGGTGGGAAAAAACCTGATGCTTCATTCGAACTGAAGGACGATCAATTTCCAGCCTTGGGATAAAATCCTGAATTAACTGCAGAATCAAGAACTTTATGATCTTTGAAATTCTTAAGAGGAAGGTTTTGGTTTTGGTTTTGCTCCCTGCTCTACTTACATTTTTGAAATTTTGTAGTAGAAGTGGCCGTAGAGGTGCTTTTCGGATTGTACAAAAGTTAGTTCAATTTTATGAAGTTCTTCAGTGTTTTTGCTTTAGTCTTGCTATGCTTTGA